CCTCAGCTCGGTGCGACGGTGTGTCCTTGGAAAGACATCTTTACTCGAATTTCCCATTTGGCTTGGTCCTTTCGAAGATGGACTTTGAACTCGTAGGCCCCGCCTCTTAAATAACTTAATAGTGTTGATAAGGGCGTTAAAATATATACCATTTCAGGGTATAGGCCACGAACAAACACTTTCCACCGTTTCCTATCCTGGGCTAGTCTCTTCATTTTGATTAACTTTCGGCTTTGTCTGCTGTCCTTCATTGTTCCTGCGGTTGCAGAAGCTCCTCTGTCTCCAAAAGATCGAAAAATAAATTGGCATGTCTGTTCCAGTTTCTGTAACTTTCTCTTTTTATAGGGTCGGGTCCTTAGCCCTCCGCAAACTGGCACTTTTCGGGAGAACAGACCTACGTACGTTTAGTCGCCTCTTACAACACGCAGTATAACGGCAGGTGTTATTCCTTGCTCCCCCATATCATATATAAAAACTATGCCCCTCCCCCTCGGCCACCCCACCCGCAAGGACGTTTCGCTAATTTACTTCACTTCAAAAAGGCGAGAATTGGTTTCTGGCTAAAACTCGAGGTGGGTGGTGGCGGGTGCTCTGGTGTGGTTTGCTTCTTCTCTCCTATCAAACATCTATCGTCCTTATCACCCCTCCTTCCATTCTATATTTGTTACTCTCTAGTAACACCTCTAATCTTCTGGTGCTCATATGACCTTATGCAGTTGCGAGCGCCGTAAAACCTCTACTAAAGCAAAATAAAACTCAAGCACATTACCAAAATTTCCACTCGCCACATGGCTGTTAAATATGATGTCACTTAGCGGTGAAAAGAGACAAATTGTAGACGATCATTTTCCTTGTGCACATGGGGCCTTAGACAGCAATTAATAATGGTTCTGTCAGTTAAGTAGGCTAGTAGTGTTTGAACGCAATGAATGATCCCTATGAAGCTCTGGAAGACTCGTGGAATGCTTCGATGTCTGTTTGAATAATAGAAAGTTGTGAAGCAAACAGGGTGAATCTACTTTCTTGTCGGGGTATGTCCTATATAAATTTGGCCTGTCATCTGTAACTGATTACTATTCTCTCCCATGCACAGAAATGTACTGTTCTATTTTTCCTTCTCTTTTTTTTTGGTCACAGTCCACACTAATTTAAAGTTAACTGTGGTTGGAGG